TTTTGGTACTGTGTTAAAATAAAATAAATTATTCTGAAGTCAGTTATCCAAAAAATATTTCTGTAAATGAGAAATTTTCATTGGCACCCCCTATGTAAACATGTAGAAATGCTAAATTGCTGGATTCTTCACTTATGAAAGAAAATAAACAATCAAAAAAATGGTATAATGGTTTTCTACACTCAGTTAAATAATTTATTTTTAATAATAGCACACAACATTGAAGGAAGTAATTAAAAATTAAAAAACACTGTGAATGTATCTGTTTGAAACTTGTATTAGTCATAGACATACACTTAGAACATCAACGTAAAAGATCGATAATACTTTATTAAAGTCCCACTGAAGCCAACTCCACACCTGCTATTGACTCAAATCATATACAGTACATTAGCTACAGCTCAAGAAACGATACACACAAACATTCAAGACACAAACACACACACACACAACACTGATGTTACACTTCTATGGGTACAGGACACAAGGACAGACACACCAGATTGAAGGCGTAGAAGCAAATCTGTGACAGAACAACACAGTCTCCTCTGTTGGAGTAGTAGGTGGTAGGGTTGATGTAAGCGTGGTCAAAGTTCAGAAGATTCAGTGATTGATGGCAGAATCGGTCACTGAGGGCAACCAGGGCACGCACCATGGTGTATTTGGCCGAGCAGCTGACGGCCGTCACTGAACGCACCTTTTCAAAGTGCAGCAGAAAACAGGGGTCATCCTGAAGGGGAAAAAAAGGAGATGGAGTGTGTATAAAAATCAACACCTTAATTTCAGATTGGATGACGGCTGTGAAAAGGAAATCAAATAAAACAAAAAGGTATGCTGTCCAAGTTCTTTGACTTTAATTGATTTTTTTATTTTAATTGTTTCATTTTAACTCCATTATTAAAAACAGGAGAATACAACAATAAAAAGCACATTGTCCATTTAATAAAATTATCAAGAATGAAGAATTGTCAGAATAGAAGGGATATGGATTTCTGTGGAAAGGTACATTTCAGATACTGACACAAAAGAACAAAATTATTTAACACCTACAGATTTTGTATATCAGCCCACTTTGAAAAAAATGAATAGATGGGTGGGTGTGTTTAGATCACCTGTTGAACAACACAACATAAACAGACTGATGTGGAAAGAAATCAGACCGACTGCTTATAGAGTCTCCCTATCTATGTCACAGAAAATGAGAAATTGAACAAACATATGAGCATCATAGAAAAGGGAAACAGGCTAGAAGACTGTGTTCATCCTTGTTGCTGTCATATTTTTCATAAAGACATCACCAATGGATGGTTGAGATTCTGGATGTTGCCACCAAATAAAAAAATAATGACCACATAATGACATTGTGTTACCTTGTAGTTTGTGTGAATTAAATTGAAATTTGAATATTTTCTTTTTATCTTTCAGTAAAGGGATCCGGTTTTTTGTACAAATGCACTTAAAATCAGATTGGGTTCATTACCACATCAGGATCCCGTCCGTCAACAAGGGTCAAGTCTTCCAGAGCCCAGATCTCTGTCCTCTTGTAGCAGTCCTGGATGTTGGAGCGTTTGGTGTGCGATCTCTTGGACCCAGACTTGTGGGACGTGACAAACACCTGACATTGCACTATGCTTAACTGCACCGCTTTCTTTGGTCCAACTGCAAAAAAGAAAACAATTCAATTCAAAATGGAATAAAAATGCAGTAAAACTGAAGGTAAAATTTTATTTTAGTTGGCGTGGAGTGGCTTACCTGAGACACAGAGAAAATGCCTCCCAGGTGATGCTTCTTCGATCTCAATAAACTCCGCCAGTCTGTGTTTTGCTGGTCGGAATAATACTCTCTGCATTTCCTCTCTCAAAAGAGAAGACATGACGGGACAGAGAGGAATGAAAGCTTCGCCAAACCAAAAGTAAAGAAAAAGAACCACAAGAGAGAGTGACAGCAGGTGAGAGAGAGTCCAAGGATCTGACGAGATGTGGAAAAAAGACGTTGTTGATGGTGTCTGGAGAAGCTGGCAGTGGTGGATAGGGAGGGAGGTGGTGATGTTTCCTCTTATCAGATGGTGAGAAAATTTGTGGTTGTGGGTTGGTTGTGTGTGTGTGTGAACTGAGCTTTTACTCTGCACACACACACACACACACGCAGCCCATTGGTGATATGAGGTCTGTTGATCCATCTATTGAGTTAATGCTTGCATATCAGCTCCCTCGAAGGGGCGGGGGACTAAGTACCATAAGGGGCCAATAAAAGACCATTCCCTTCATCAGTCAAAATTTTTATTGCTCCAATCAAGATCCATTATGAAAGTATCCGGTAAATGCATTTCGCCCCTGAGTTTGGATTGTTTTCAGCTAAAAAAACAAAAAAAGACTGTGTTTTGGACAATGTCCAGTGGCTGCATGTTTCTCTCCTAACCCCCTTCTCCAGCACACATGGACAGTGTCTGTGATTCTGGAGTCTCTCTGTCTCCTCCTCTTACTTACATATAGACATTAATATATACTGTGGCTCAGTGCCCGCTGTTTGTCTGTGATTAAACGGTTGTTGTGTGGGAAAAGGATGTCCCACAGCACTCTACATGGTTTCCATTACCCTGTAGTAATTCAATCACTGAGAAGAGATACAAGTGGGGTGAAGCACTTATATGAGGGGTGGTGGGGAGGTTTTTCCCTTTTATTTTTACAAGCTCACAAAAGGATAATACACTTCTTTAGTCATAGTGACTTCACAAGAACCCTTGCTGAAGATGTAGACGGGCTTACATTTTGGTGTGTGAAACCTAAAACAATTATTTTCTCTGAGCCAAACCACTCCAACAAGAACCAGACCAACACTCTGATTTAATTTGTTCACAGGCAAGAGTGTGGCTCCATTGGATCACTGGTCACATTTGTGAACACAAAGATGAGTTTTTTTTCCACTGCTAAGTGCTTTATTGTTGTTGTTGTTGTTGCCGATGCTTGTTGTGGGTGTTCGCTTGAGAGGCTTTTTGTCTCTGAGATGGAAAGACAAGCAGATGGGCAGGAAGCAGAGCGCAAAAGGAAATGTACAAGTGTTGAAACCCATGAATAACACATGAGGTTTGTTGTACTTACCTATCATTTCGAAAATAGTCGTATGATCTCAGACAGCGGCTTTTGACTGTGTGAATCAAAAAAGGCTAAACAAAAACCCAAAGCAATCGGAGTTCTATTCTGTAGCTGAAGATGTTTCGCCTGGGGAGCTAGAAAGAGAAAGGTCCATTTACAATGCGACCAGCCACTTCCCAAAGTTTGTGACCTCCTCCTGGAATCACCACTGTATTTATAGTGGTTGAAAAGTTTGTGGGCCTCAATGATCCTAGGAGCTATTACCCTTGATCCAGTCAGGCTAAGCCCAAATGAGCAATTTCTGTTTGCCTTCCTGTGGGCCCACTACCCACAGGAGGGGCTCTGCAAATCAGGTGCATGATACCAACCATGGGCAGTAGCCAGCCGAAGGCAGGGGCTTTGGCACTCTGACCCTGGTTTTTAGGACAATTATTTTATCTTAGTCATCCTTCATAAAGGGTGACCTATGATGGTCAGAGGTTTTCCATTGCTAGAATTCCAATGTGGGGGCACAACTCCTACATTGGTTTTGTGGCACCTGGTGTTCGAAAGCGGTCTCCCATCCAAGTACCATCCAAGACCAGACAAGATGTGGCGTGTTCAGGGTGGTACGGCCATTTTGTTTATGTTTATTCCGTATAAAATATGTGGGAAAACACAGAGTTTGCAGACCTCTGTGTACATGTTTGCTGGCACCCAGGCAGCGCTGCATTAATATCAGACTCCCCTGTGAAGCGGAAATCACTTCATGGACTCAGGAACACTTCATAAAAACCAATGTCAGGAAACATAATGAGTCGCTGTTATTTGCAAATGACATGGTTCTAAAAAGATCTGGAAAGATTCCAAATTTCTGCCAACTTTTCTGAGACCTTGACCCAGAACTGTCATGAGAAAAAGTCCCACATTGATCAACTGAAAGCTGCAGCAGAATAAACACATTTTGAAGAGGAAAAATGTTAAAATACCATGCAGCAGAATATGCTGAGTCAAAGAAGAACAGGATAGACCAATAACACAGGGAGAGTCCTTGGAATTCAAAAATAACTGCAGACTGGTAACACAGATTAAAAAAAACAAAGTTAAGGACACCAATGAGGCATAAAATAAAAATAAGAATTAAGAACGTCAGCACTTTACAAAAACCGGGAAACAAGACAGGTGGAAGTCTGGGTTGATTTTCAGGATTCCTCACGACATGAGACAAAATTAGCTGATTTGAAATATCATAGAAAACACAAAAGTTCATTGTAAGTGTTTTGGCTTCAAAAACAGAAACACTTCTCTTGTTTTATTAGTGAAAAGTTCACAGTGGTATTATTTTCATTGCAAGCCCTCTTCAATAGAGGGCAGTAAAGTTCTAGAACTAAAAGGATCACGTTTCCATGTAAAAATATGCAAACACAAATCCAATGAGATCTTGTTCTAATACACAAATGTATCGGATTTAATTTTAGTTAAATAGTTTTGTGTTTAGTTGGTGCATTTGTGTAAGGTTTGCACGTTTCATTTAGTGTCATAGAAAGTCTGCAAAAGTGTGCTCGGATTTTAAAGCTCAAAATCCTTGCTTAAAACCTTGATATTGGAGTCAACCCTGTAAGCAAAATATCTCATAAACTATTGGACAGATTGCAATGAAATCTAAAAGCTATTGTCTACACATCTAAGCGATGTTTGGAATCAACCAGATTCAAGATGCCCACCACAGCTTTTTCAACATTAGACTTTATAAAAAATGTCTAAATCTCTGTGAAATTTACAAGTATTGAGCTAAAATTTGCTGTGGTGTGAGAATCAGTCACAACATACTGCGCCCTCCACGAGCTTATAGACCAGTGGTTCCCAAACTTTTTATCCTCTGACCCACAAAATATCCATGGAAAAAACTTGTGACCCCAAATATTACTGGTCTGAGTACACAAACTTGGTTAATAACCCCAAAAACACAGGCTTTTTGACAATCTGAACAGCTTATTTTTTACTTATTTTGTGTTTTTGTAATAATTATAGGGAAAATATTACAGCAGTAATTATTTTATTACCCTTTAAATTGATTTCTGGAGATTATCCAAGGTGCTTCATTACCCATAATTGGGTCCCAAGCCCAATTTTGGGAACCAAAGTGCAGTGGTTCCCAAACTTTTCATCTTTTGACCCACAAAATAGTAGCAGAGACCTGTGACCCCAGTTATTTTTGTATGATAAACATTTGTATCAGGTCAACTAAACATGGGCATAGTAACAATACTTTTATACTACATTTATCCATTTTAAATACACTAACCTCACTCCTTTGCAACAACTAAGGCAAAAAATGTAATTAATTCAGAAAATCTTTTCAGGACCCCACCTTGAAGTTTTGGGACCCCACTTTGGGTCCCGACCCCAACTTTGGGAAACACTGTCAGGATCATGTATTGCACATAATCTTATTTTTAAGGTTTGACCAAAACTGCAACAACTCTGCAATATCAGAAGATTTTATAGTTTGTTACAGCATGCATGGGGAAACTCAACACAGGTTTTTGCTCGACGTCATTGCTTTGAAGGCTTCTGATTGGATGCGAATTAAAGAGGGAACCCCTTACTATCTGGCCTGGTCATCTTTATATATATATTTTTTTCTGCTTTCACATGGCGACTATCTCACTTAATCCATGCATTACTGCTTAAATGGTGCATTGTATCACTAACATTTGGTGTTTTCTGTTGTAGATTGCCTTTTTATTTTTACATGCTGTCAAATGCAAGCTATAGTGCAGCGTCGCTGTCGTTTATCACACACACACAAAAAAACCTTTTTAGTAGTCATCCTATAGAATAAACCTGAATGGAAAAGGTACTAAAAACGCGGAGTCATTTCCCCCCTCGGTGATCACTCAGCGATTCACAGCTACTGTACTTGTAAAATAGTGCGCCCTACTGTCTCCAATGCGCATGACTGTACGTCGTATAATATGAAGTAGGCCTCCTGTTTTTCTCCTCAGCCCGAAGTCCTCCCCGGCCCCCGCCGCCACTTCGATTACGCTCAAGTCGGCAAAACACGGAGGCTGCTGTCGAAGTGTACGCGAAGGTAAATAAATTTTTTTTTTTTTTTTGTCACGGCATACACAAAACTGTGCGTGTTCGGGAAGCGGCAGGGTTGTTGATAGCTTAGTGGTGTTTTCGTTTTAGCGTGCGGAAGCGGTCGGACTGCAGAGCAGGCTTCGGGACTGTTTCCGCACGCTTGAAGGCCCAGTGACCCACATTCGGAGCTGCCAGTTTCTGTGCGTACTGTGCGTACCACTGCGCGTGCGCGTGTCCTCCTCAACGCGCGCGTGTGTGTATGTATGTGTGTGTGTGTGTGTGTCTGTCTCTGTACGGTACATCTGCCGCGAAAATGTTTCCACCATCGCTGGTTTTGGACATTTCTCACCCGCGTTGATAACGTTTGTGTTTCTGTCGGCTCGCCTTTTCAGGACGCCGCCTGCTCGCGCGAGCGCTCGGGCTTCGTGGTCTCGCGGCGTTTGTCTGGATTCATTGGTTATATTTCTGAAGATTGTTTTGTCTTTCAATGTCAGTTGTTGCGTGACAGCTCCAGGCGCGGCGCCAGCTCGCAAATGATAGACGCTGATATTCCTGATTGTACGAACGTGAGTTGCTTTTTCACCCGTCATAACAGTGGCTTTCGGTGTTTGTTAGCGTAGCCGGAGGAAAAAACGGGGGCAGTGAGAGCATTAAATCTCCAAGTTAAATGGGCAGTTTTCGGTCGTCAGCTTAGTTAGCCTGCTAGCTGGCTAGTAGTATATAGGTTGCTCTCTTATGGTTGTATAACAACACCTGTGGCATTAAAACGGTATGTAAAAATGAGCATTTTCTTAATGGTGAATCGTGGCAATACTACAGCGCGACCATATTGCAAAAGTATGAAAGTTTATTCATTCGTAATGGTGTTTTAGCTAAGCGAAGAAGCAATTTAATGAGATTGAAGTGGGTTAGCATCCTCAAAATACATCTCAGAGGACATCAGGATGAACTCGAGGCTGTTTAATGTGCAAAATATCTGTAAAGTATATTGTTTGATAGTCAATCTGACCTTACGCCCACGCTCTTCTTAAACAGTGGTTTTCAAACAGAGAGGGGGACTTCACTTGTTCAATGAATGGAGATGACAAATTTAGCTATGGTTAGTCGGTAAAAATACTTTCTTAAGGCTTATGAGTTTGATATATTAGTCCTGGGACTGTATCTTCCTCATTGTAAGCTACAAACTAATGAATATTTAAAGCCTTTGAATGACCTAAATATTTTAAACGTGATGAATCTATTCAAAACATGCTCCAAAGTGAATGCTAGTGAAGGCTTCAGAAAAAAGGAAGTTTGCTTTCATAAAACTGAGTATTCTGTTAACAACCTGATTATAGCAAAACTTAAATAGTTCTTCACCAAATCTGTTGTCTAACATTAATTTATTTAATAAGTTGTTGGCTATTACTCACAAATAAATGACAACATTTACTGAAAACAACAAGCTTCATATGTAGGTCATAGCAAATGTGAAATGAGCTAAATTGGCATTTTTGTCTATAAAAGTGTGTCTGAAGCCCGAATTTGCCAGGCAAATTACAAATGAATTATTGAATTTGATTTGAGATTTATATACTTTTGTCCTAATTTAGTATCTCTGTTTTACAACAAACCAATAAATACCAAATGAGAGATTAAGTCTAGGTGTGTTAGAAAGTCATCCTGGAATACATCAATCCATTTTTTCCTTCTTCTTCTGTCTTGTTGTGGTGACTCTCCCCAGCAGTCACTGTGGGAGGAGGGGTACACTCCGAACAGGTTGCATATCTGCCACAGAGCCAGAATTACATTAAAATCCAGGTTCTAAGAATGGGGAGACTTTTTGTTTCACTTTCTTACAACACACCTAACTCTACAAGTGGTTATTGATACTTTTGAGTGATATTATCAAAGATCTGTTGTCTGTCTGCTGATCGACTGTTTTTTTTTTTTTTAAAACTGCTCTTTCAGAATAGTACATTGGTTATAACAATTACTATTATTCAGATAAGTGTGATTGGAAAGCAAAAATGTCAACATTCTCTAGATGCTTTGTTTAGTTTTGATGTAAAATCATTATAGATCCGAGCTTCTTGTTGGTAAAACATTTCTACTTGTGCTCATGGTGAAGTGACATGGGTTACAGATTGTGTTGTTGATTATTAGCTTTTTGTAGTGATGTTTCTCATAATGTTTTCTAGTAACTTGGCATCAAGATAACTTTGGTATTTTGCTGCCTATATATGATAAATTCAATTGTGCACCGATGATCATAATATTTCTTTAATTGTTTTTCTAATTTTTATTTGCCATGACATTTTATATGCGTGTTAAACAATGAATCACTCGAGGAGTGTTTGTGAATGAGTCACTACTCTTTTTGTGTTGTAGGTCAACTGTGGTGTGAAGTTTTGTCACTGCCTGTGAGGCTTCAAAACGAAAACATAGTTTTGCCTACAAGAGACATTCCAGTCAAGGGTAAGTTAGAAAAAAAGAGTACTTTATTCTAGATATTTTTTAGCCTTTTTATCATTTAATGATGCATCATTGGAATTTCAAAATATAAATAATTTAAATAAATAATAATAAATAATTAAGGTAAATTAAAAAGACTTATTAGGTAGTTCATGGGAAAGGGAGTGTAAGTGATGGTTTGTGTCTTAAGTGGCCCTCTGATGAACCTGTTGTAGGTTTACATTCATTGATTATTTCCTAAAAGTTTATTTTACATCTGTTCATTGGTTTGCAGTATATTTTGCTAATGGGACAATATTAATGTTGTATAAAATGTGTTTTAAGGATCAGTCTCAGCTAACAACACACCAACTTGTAGCTCAATATTTGTAAAACTATCTAATGGGGTGTAAACCACCAGCTTTATCACGATACAATATTACATCGATATGTTTTGGATGACGATTCAATATTTCTCAATCACAAAGTCTGTCATGATATAATTTCGATTCAATTCAATCCACATGTCTGCGATCGATATGAGATATCTTATGACCATCTAACACAGTGACTGTCTTAGATGGTCATATATCGATTCACAATGAGCATATGATGACGCTATAGATCAATATTTTCATTTTGCCTCGATATAACTGAATCATGAATCATTAAAATCGATATATTGATATAGATCGATGTATTGTTACACCCCTACTGACTAAGCAGACTAGTGTTTTTAAGGTTTGTTGACTGCGACAGCCACTTTGTATTAGGTTCACTCTGAAAGCCATCCAGTCGTATAAGTACATCCTGTTATCAATTTCTGCTAGTTTGATTAAATTTGTCCAGGAATTCCAAAGATACTTTGATAATAGACAGACACAGAGGAAAAACTTAATTGTGCATTTTTGACTTTTGGTGGCAGGCAAAAAAAAAAAAAAAGTAAATTTCGTTTTTAATTCTCTGTGTTGATAGAAATCGCCAATGGGAAGTTTTTAATGTTTTCAAAAAGAGTCTAGCTGTTAAAAATTCACCTTCGTTGGTGCAATTGCTTTGTGTGAAGGCAGGAATCAGTAAAAAACAAAAGAAAAATTAATTAACTTTTGATCCAAACCAATCTGACCTCTTTGTTATGCACTGGTTCCTCTTTCAGGGTTGGTCAGCCACCATGTTTTTCCCATGGTCTGTTGGCCTTTCTTGACCCGATGACCTCAATATTGCTTTTGACCAGAGAGTCGGCTTCCTCCCCAATCCATTTCTACAACCCCTGAGGAAAGACGTTTTGTGCAAAAGCTGCAGTGGGGTGAGGAGAACCCACGTAGGGGGCAACATCCCCATCAGCCCATACACTTACAATATCTCATAAAACAAACCTTTTACATTTGCATTTTAAGATTTTTTTTTTTAATTACATCTAAAATTTGTACTTTTCTCTGTTTTTATTTTTATATTACAGTGGCATTCTAGCCAAAAACATCCATGCCCAAAATGATACAGCCAGCTTCTGCTGCTATTTGGACTTAACCAGAGAACTCTATGTCCAGTCGTGTAATGAGATTAATATTATTAGTAACACATGTATAAATAATGTTTGATGTCAGAATTATTTCCTTACAATGTTTTTTTTTTTTTTTTTTTTTTTTTTTTTTTTCTGCTACAGCTGCATACAGAATATGTGTTGCTTTTCTTTTGGATTCATCAAGAAAGACTTTAAAATAAGTTCTGACTTAAAAGAGACTTCTTTTGAAATAAATGTTTCATGAGGTCTTAATGAAATTCATTTTTTATGTATAGTCATATAAAGTAAAACTGCTTCTTTTCCCAAGCATGTAATCCCTCATCTTTTCAGAGCAGTTTATTTGTGTATGCAGTAAGGTACTCGCCTCCAGCCTTATCTTCATCAGTGTCCACCTGCTCTTTTGACATCAGTTGTACTCTGTAACCTGTCCAGCTTATGATTAATGTGTAGGAGGGCATGCATTGAATAGCCTCACACCAACACATACCAAACTAATTACTAGGCAGGCAATTTGTTTGGCATGATGATTGTTTGTGTCGTTTACGAGCTTGTCATTACATAATTGTTAAAGCACCTAATTAAAGATGTGACTCTTTTCTGACCATTTACATTATGATAAACCACTATAAGTAATTTAAAAGATTACAATAAACTTATAGTTTCTTTTTTTTTGTCTTTCCTCTACAGGTGCTCTTCCAAATGCCTACCTCACGCCTTAAGAACAAATCACTGCAGCCACAGCCCTGATCAGCAGCCACCATGACATCAAGTATAGGGTATGCAGGCTTTATTACATATTTGTAATTAATAATATATCCCAAATATTCAACAAGAAATTTCCATGTCAGCTTCATATAACATTTGTAAGTTCAAATAAAACAGTGCAAACATACCTTACTTCCTGGCAAGTGTGACCCATTCCTGTTTTATTCTTTCCCTGTCACTCACCACTTCTTGCGCTCTCTTTAGCAATTTATTTTTCCCATAAGCCTCCAAATGAAACCTACTACTGGCATGCATACCAACAAGTATTTAAACCCTACCCCGATTTTAATTGGTCATCATCCATTATGTGCTAATATTAGCACTGCATGTATGTTTGAGAGCTGCCTGCCAGGCACAGTGACTCAGGAAAACAAAGTGAATAAGGAGAAACTCTGAATGTCAAAACGTTTTTTTGCTCCCTGTAGGGATGATTGTAGCCTCTTTGATGGGTTGATGGAAGAAGATGAGAAGGACAAGGCAAAACGGTAAGCTACATGGGACAATTAAAAGCCTGTTAATCCTTGAAGGAATGCATATTGTAGTTATTTTGGTCAAACCTTGAAAATAATGTAATGTGCGATCTCATTACATTGTGAGATGTTATGCTCATTGTATGTTTTGTAAATGACTTTCAGCTACTACATTCATTTTTCCACAATATCTAAATTTGACCAAGTTGTAGTCATGTTTTTTTCTTTTTAATCTTAAGTTGGTTGTGACAGGCATCAAATGTTAATCAGTTAAGCTAGGGCTGGGCGGTACGGCAAAAAAAACAAAACAAAAAAAACAGTCATGATTTATTTTTTCATATCATCTAATCTCTATTATCCCATTTATTTTATTAACCTAAAAAGTGTGCAATTATAAAGTGACTGATAATTAACTTAACAAATAAATAGCTACATAATAAAAAAGGATGTTATTTCACTTTTACTAACATAACAAATAGCTGTAGTTCAGTAGAATATTAAATTGTTTTTGCAAGGTATTTAAAAAGATATTTACCAAGAAAAAAAACATTCTTTATGTGTAAATCATAGGATCTCACGTTAATAAGGTTATCTTTTTGTAAAATAAAGTTTTAGAATTGAATTTCACATTAAATATGTCATAAAGAAACAAAACCTACAAACAGCATCAATTTGTGCACACTTGCCAACTGAATCAGATCTAAGCGCATTATTTACTTCTGTTTTGGAAGGAACCCCCACCACTGCCCCCTCCTGTTTACAGTACTTTATCCCCCAAAAAATAAATAAATAAATAATCTTGGATAAACTCCCACCTTACTTCTGAGCATTCAGGAGTTTGCAGCGTGTACGTCTCGCTCAGCTCACTATTTGTGATGCGACTCAGACAGGAAGTGGTCTTCACACGTTTTCTTACACATCCAGCCCATCGTGTGCCAACAAAACTCACAGAAAAGTTGCTCTCCAGATAAATAAAGAAACGCTGGGTCATTGTTCTGTCCTAAACGTTACCCTAAGCTTCATTTTTGTGGAGGACATTTCTGTTTTAGTGAGTCTGTTTCGCCTCGCATCTCGTCTCACTTTTCTTTCTTCCTCTCCTTGCGTGCCTGGTACCAGATAGCAGCAGGTATAGGGAGCGGCAGCGGCCAAAATACCTTAGAAACTCGACCAGATAAGCAAATTCTGTGAGATTCAGTGTTTTATACTGGATTACATTTTGTTTGGTCAATTCCACGATTTCATCCTTGTTTCCTTAGCATCTTATAAACAGAAGTGGAGCAGGAGAAAGTGGATTCTGATTGGCTGTTGTCACGCATGTTTCCGCCATGCTTGATCAAGTAAAGAGGCTCACAGCTGATCACCGTAATCAACCTGAATTTTTTCTTGCTCAATAATCACAAATAATTGCCCAGGCCTAAGTTAAGGTTAATGATCAATTTCTGAAAGTTTCATTAAACTTGGTCCAGTGATTCATGGGATATTTTGCTAACAAACATATACACAAACACACAAAGACTTAGACTAAAACCTAATTGTCTGATGATAAAGATGGTGGAAATTTATATAATGTAGTTTGACAAAACGTTCATGTGTCTAAAGATGACTTTATGTTTGTGTTCATTTCAATAGAGGACATTCAACACTGTCTTCACCATACAATGAACCATAACTGTGTTTTGGGTTGCAGCGTGTCTCGTAACAAGTCGGAGAAGAAAAGGAGAGACCAGTTCAATGTCCTCATCAAGGAGCTTGGCACCATGTTGCCTGGCAACACCAGGAAGATGGACAAGTCCACCATCCTGCAGAAAAGCATCGACTTCCTGTGTAAACACAAAGGTCAGGAGATTTCATCGTCCTCGCATCACTTCCTGTGTTTATGTCGAACTGTTTATGCTGCTCAGATATTTCTGTCTTTATATTCTGGTTTAATTATTCACTCAGTGCGTGCTGCTATCAGGACTTGTTTATCTTTATCAGTAAAACTTTGTACAAAGATGATTTATTGCTGTTTTTAATGAGCCATGAGTAAATTCACATGTTAAGTAGTTTTTGAATCATCTTCTCCTCTTGTCCTTTTCTTGATTTTGTAGTGTGATCATTCTAACAAGTCATTCCTCCTTCAACAGAAATCGCAGCCCAGTCAGAGTCGAGTGAGATCAGACAGGACTGGAAGCCTCCATTTCTTAGCAACGAGGAGTTCACCCAGCTCATGTTGGAGGTCAGAAATGTCCCATTTTGTCTGTTAGGTCACAACACCAGCATCATATCCACTGATACTTTCAGGCTTTGGTTAAAAATGTCAACACGTATGTAATTTTCTTCATCTAACTTGGATGTTGTCATATGTAGTTTTATTGTGTTAAATATTATTTTTAAATGTTTTTTGGCAGGCAAGCAAATATTACTACAACTCCTTATTTTGTCTTTTTCTCCTGCTGAAAAACAACCTCTCTGTTATTTTGTTTTCTTTTATTAGGCTCTGGATGGGTTCTTTATAGCAATAATGACTGATGGGAACATCCTTTATGTCTCTGAGAGTGTCACCTCATTACTAGAACACCTACCGGTAAGCAACACTGTTTTTTCTGGTGATCATTATAAATTAGTACTCAGCTGTATCCCAAAACAAGTTTTTTTTTAAATCCCAAAACATTGCCTGTGTGTATATGTGAAAGGGTTCCGATTAAACGTGTTAAGATGATTGATGTATGGGTGGGAGGTGTTTGTACTTTCTATTGTTCTAAGTGTTCATGTTGAGATGTGCGTGTTTCCCAGGCTGACTTGGTGGACCAGAACCTGTTAAACTTCCTGCCTATTGGGGAACACTCTGAAGTGTACAAGGCTCTGTCCACACATCCCACCGATCCAGAGAGCCTAAGTACTGATTATATGAAGAGTCAGTAGTCATTGTGTGCTTTGCTTACAGCTTTTTTGAAACAATTCACTGATCATGTACATGAAATATTTTTGCTTTGTTTTTAGCAAAGAATCATTTGGAGTTCTGCTGTCATATGCTGCGAGGAGCCATTGACCCCAAGGAACTCCCTCCCGTCTATGAGTATGTTAAGTTCATCGGCAATTTCAAGTCTCTCAATAATGGTACGTCACATTTTGATCATTTATTTGTACTGTTCTATTATGCATATCAAACTGAGACATTTAAAGTCAGACCTAAATGATATATTGTATTAAAATTGTGTGCAAGTCTATTTTCTGTTGACATTTTTTAAAACTATATTTTCTACAGCTCTTTTATTTTAACTGGTGTAATGGATCATTGCGGGAAAGTGGGCACATATTCTGGTTGTAAAGCTGTAACTCACCTTTCGCTGTAGTTTCCACTTTATAAACCAGGGCTATTCAACTAAACTGCTACGGACGCCACAGCTACTGCAGATCAACAGCTCAGGGGCCGAACATCCAGCAGTTAGTTATTTTGTAAATAAACCAAGTATTACAAAGATCTGTTACCTTTGAAATAGTTTATTTTGCTGCATTTAATCATGAATACAACATACAGAACCCTTTAAAAGTAGTGTTAAACAATATCAAAATCAGAAAGAACACATTATACCTCATATTTGACACATTATTTTAACATCTCTGACTTGCCAAAATTTTAAACCACTCTTCCTCACTTTCCTATTTTTATCTTCAACTGTTTGTAATTTTAACTGTCTTGAGTGTGCATAGAAATGGTTTTTACCAACTTCTAGCCAAGACTCTGATGTTTCTGTAGATACCAAACATGTTTAACTAAAATAACTTATAGTAATTAAAGTAGAAAACCGGGGGTTTGGGCTTAAGAGATGAATGAACCAATTGGCGGGCAAACTTCGGTCACTCACGGGCCAGATGTGGCCCACCAGTTGAATAGCCCTGATAAAAACCTTTCAAAATAAAACTCTTATGGCAAAAACAACCATCACTTTAGGGGTGAGCAGAGGTGATGGGGGGAGGGTGTTGTGGTTAAAAATAGCACCCTGTCTGAAAAGGTAGTGTGGTGGTTATGATACGACTTGGCACATTACAACAATTTTGCAGTACAAGGTTGTTAACATAGATTTCAGTGGTTGTTTGCAAGTGCAAATAGTGGCAACAGAAGCAAGCTGTAGCACTTCTGGAGAAGCCTTGGCTCAGTTACAGCTGGAACTTCATAATCATTTTTCAGAAATAACCATGTATTTCCAAACTGACAGGTTAAATTTTACATATTACTGTTTTTATGAACTAATGTGAAATGATTAAGACTGAAGCTCTTTTAAGATTTAAGCAATCCACTTTGGTTATGTGTGTTTTTTTTAAATAAGGTAATCCAAAGAGCTATTTACAACCCGTTGGATGTTAATTTATCGTAACTTTTTCACAGAATTCTGCTTGAAAATGGTCTGAATACTGAATACAACTTGTAAAGTTCCAGTCCGGAAAAATAAAATTCCATGGTTGAATGCCTCTATAATACATCTCCTAAAGTTGAAAGCTTCTTCAATGAAAACTCATAGAATATCAAAAACTTCTGAAAATCGGTCTCGTTTAAACAGTTACCGAAATAAATGTGTTGCTGAATTACGCAAAGCCAAACAACAATATTTTAAAAATCAAATTATTTCAGCCAATAAGAATATCCAAAAATATTGTGGGAAACGATTAAGTCAGTGACAGGTGAAAGTAACAATAAAACATTTAATAACAATTCACAAATCTCAGTAAATGGACTTCTTGTTTCTGATCATGAAAAAAATTGCTAACTTATTCAATGAATATTTTAATTCTTCAGTAAGGACATCATTACCAGGACAAGCTAATATTTTAAAGTTATTTAAATATCTTGACACTTCAAAGCAATTTTCATTTTCTGGAATTTCACAGAGTGATGTTTTGAATCCAGTCCAATCTCTAAATGGCTCACATGCATTTGACAAATATAAGATAAATATGGATTTCTTGAAAATGCATGCCAACACTTTTTTACCATTGTTTCATCGTTTGCTTAATTTATGTATTGTGCAGTCTATTTTCCCTGATGCCTGGAAGTTTGCTCCCATTTTTAAATCTGGTGATCCAACAGAAGTTTCAAACTATCAGCCAATTTCTGTTCTTCCTGTTTTTTTCTAAGTTACTTGAAAAAACATTATTTAATCAACTACTTCAGCATCTAGAAGCTAATAATATGCTAAGCAATAGCCAACATGGTTTTCGCATGTCAAGGTCAACCATGTCTGCATTAATTTTATTCACTGAACAAATACGTGCTGCTTTGAACAAAGGTCAAGTAACTGGTGCTGTATATATTGATTTTCGTAAAGCGTTTGACACAGTTGATCATTATACTCTCTTACAAATGTTGATTTCTTTTCAACTTTCATCATCTGCAATACAAAAGTTTTCCTCTTATTTGACTGATAGGTGTCAGGTTGTTAAACACGGAAGCTCTGTGTCCGGGTCTCTGCCCTGTTCCGTGGGAGTTCCGCAGGGGAGCATACTGGGCCCATTGCTTTTCCTATTATACATAAATGACCTTCCAAAAATATTGAAGTATTCAAATATTTTAATGTATGCTGATGATACTGTTCTTTTTTTGTCTGATTTCAATATTGAATCTATTAATAGTCAGTTACAAGCAGATCTTAAGACATTTCATGGTTGGCTTCAAGATAATCTTTTATCAATTAATGTTAAAAAACTGTGTGCATGTATTTTTCCTCACCCAGGAGACATTTCGATATAACAAATCAACTCACTTTTTTAAACAAACCCCTTGATATTGTCACTACCTACAAATATCTTGGAATTACTTTGGATTCTCATTTGACTTATCGTGATCATGTACAAGTCTTAACCACTAAGGTGAAACAGAAATTATACGTTTATTCAAAAATTAGATCCAATCTGACGAAACAGAAATTATACGTTTATTCAAAAATTAGATCCAATCTGACATCTTCTGTTTCAAATATCTATCTTCATGCCATTATACTCTCAACCATGTCGTACTGTTT